GTATACATGCTTACTGGTGAATCAATGAAGCGTGTCTATCGAATGAGATTCTCCATTAGTGCTGTAAATGCTTCATTACTGCCATAAACTCTTCATTAGCCTTGAAATTACTTCATCAGTTTTATAAATGCGTCATTATTGCCAGAAATTCTTCATTAGCCTTGAAAATACTGCATTAGTTTTATAAATGCTTCATTAGTATCATAAATACTGCATTAGTATTGAAACTTAAATATGTATCTTGAGATTTTCTTATATGATATCATGTATTGAAAAATGAGTATGCGTAGGTGAACTTTTTTGTTTGTGCATTATGAATATTTTATTTAAAGGAAATTTTTGGTCTTTCTAACAACCATTTGCAACCTACTAAGCTATTGATGGAAAAACAGCATTAACATGAAAAACGAATATGTCTATAATATAAAGCCAAAGAAGAAAAATAGCAAACATCATATAACATATGTATATACAGTCGGGAATAATTGAAATTATATCCTTTGATTTTTTTGTTTTTTATTACTATACGGTTTTATCTATTAACTTACAATATATAGAGAGAAAGTCCAGAACGCGCTGCATCTTTTGGTATATTTACGTTGAACATCAAATGTAGTTTAAAGTATAAAAACTGTATTAGAAGAAAAAGAACTTTTTTTTTATTGCCAAAATCGGGTGTCCATAATGTTGTAACATTTTTTTATTTCGCATATATCTCGGCTAAGGAAAATGAAAAAACCTTGAATTTTTTCAAAAGATGCGCCGTGAAAAGCTCTACAAAAGCCATATGATTGGATTCCTTTTTACCTGTTCTAATGGTTTTTCTTTTGCTCAAAATGAAAAACTTATCGGTCTAATTTTACTTCCCATAATATAGAAAATATTTCGAGACCTTTTCCGATTCGTTATAGGATTTGGTCTATACAAGTTTTGTAGAGCTTTCGACGGCACATCTTTTAAAAAACAAATTCAATATTGCATCCTTTTCTCAAGACGAGATATATGCAGAATAAAAAAGTCGTTCAACATTTTCAGTATGATGGGAAGTGACACTGCCATGTAAGTTGTTCATTTTGAGTATAAGAAAAACTATTGGAACAGGTAAAAAGGAATTCAATCATATGGCTTTTGTAGAGCTTTTCACGGCGCATCTTTTGAAAAAAATTCAAGATTTTTTCATTTTCCTCAGCCGAGATATATGCGAAATAAAAAAATGTTACAACATTATAGACACCCGATTTTGGCAGTAAAAAAAAGAGTTCTTTTTCTTCTAATACAGTTTTTATACTTTAAACTACATTTGATATTCAACGTAAATATACCAAAAGATGCAGCGCATTCTGGACTTTCTTCCTATATATTGTAAGTTAATAGATAAAAGGGTATAATTTCAATTATCCTCGACTGTATATAGATGTATCATCTCATGAAAAATATTAACATCGTGGTATATATAATATTATCATCATAATAGTTTTAACCTATAACATCATAATCAATATGAATTATATGTAATTGATAAAAGCCTAAAATAATCTAAACAATGTATAAACATCATCATTGTATAATAATCACACAGTAAAATGATAACCCTATGTAAAATTAATTAGATAATTATAGTCATCAAATCATTCAGCTGTAATTCCAAATTACCTGAAAGAAACCAATAATTATACATCACTCAAGTTTTATAGTCTACTTCACAGAAGAATATTTATTGAAATAAATAATTATCTTGAGTTTTTTTGGTAATATCCTATATTTACGAAAAAGAGATAATTATGTGGTTGGGTTTAATTTATTTTGATCCAAATAGATAAGCATTTACGTGTTGAATGTTGAATTTTTATGGTTATTGCTTGTTTCATATTTGTTTAATGAAGAAAATTATTTCTAAAATTTCTCGATCGAGTTTCGGGAGTGCATAATGTTTCGATCGAATACAGGCTGGTTTTCGAGGTGGATTTGATTTCTTTTTTTTTGTTAGATGAAAGAATTCGGTGCCCCAAGAATCGGTGTAATGAGGGTGTGGGTGTGCGCTTTGTCATCTTCCACATTCACACTGTAATCTTATATGGAGAATACATAAGTTCTATTATTTGGTTTCTTATTAGATTAGACACACTCTCGTCATTAAATGCAGTAATGGAATCCAGGTGACCATCACTCTAAATACTGAAGAAACAGATAGAACTTGCAATGACGCTACAAATTTAGAACTGATTCAGATTAATAAAATTGTATAAGGTCGATCATATTAACCAAGATTATTTTGTGATTTTTTGACAGATTCATATTGATTAGCACTTCTTCTCGATATATATCCATAGAACAGGTTTAGTAATACTAGCCTGATATTGTTTTTCATGGAAGTAAACTCAACTCTTTCGAGAAAGTGAACATAACTTTCGAGATAGAGTGTCCTCCTCCCCAGTTTCCGTGACATATAAAACACTGTTTGGTAGTGTCGTAAGCAGTTTTAATGAGAGTGATGAAAATCGATAATTTAACTTTAATATAAAAGGTTTGCTCTAATATAGTGTAAAAAATCAATCTGTAGGTCAAGATACTCGTTTTACTCTTGGTTCTATAAAAAAAACTGAAATAGAAGGTATGTCATATATAAATTGCAGAAAAAAAGATTGTCAACGCAGTTCCTGTGCAGCTTCTTCCGGAGAAGAATCGACTGGCAGAAAAAAGATGTCTCTTATTTATTTCTGCATTTTGAACAAAACTTTTCTTGTTTAGTTTTTTCCTGACGCTCATTGTTTTTTTTTCTTTGTTCCATTATTTCAAAAAATTGGAAATACACAGATGATTCATAAAAAGCACTCCCATAAAAAGATGAAATATATTGGCATTCGTTCAATCAAATAGGCTGATTCTTTGTTTATTGGTAGAAATTCATTTACAATAATACTTAACAGTAGTATTTGTTTATCTTATCTGTATAAAAGAATTTTGAATGGACTTCTACCTTTAAACAAAAACTCAAGGCATTTGAATGAACCGACGCAGATATATTTCATTTCTTTTATTGTAGTACAATGTATCTATAGTATTTGGTTCATATTTCTTTGAAAATAGGATCTAAATATAAACAATTTATTACCAAAATAATCAGGAAAAAAAGCTCTACAAACTCTGAAAGTACCAACGGATTTGAACATGGTCGCCGGCTTGGTCAGGCGACATTCCATAGATTTATCTGTAATGTATACGTCTTTTAGCACTTGACTACAAAATTCTTCTAAATGTTTAATCTACTAACTGACTGAAATATTTTTCGTAGAGTACTATAGAAATTGGGTAGGTATCTGGTAAGTATCCATATATTGAGACAATTTTTCAGCAATACACTCACTAGGATATGGTTTACCCTCCAGATAATAGAGAACTACCCTACCACCTACAATCTCTCAGTTATGTCATCAGAGAAAGTATCGATTCATTGCTTGAATTTCATCCAAAAGAATATACGGTTTGGTAATCATACTGGTATGAAACTTGCTATTGAATGTGAAGAGTATGCGGCAACAAAGCATACTGTTGACCAATCATTTTGTTTTCATGTTATATTTTTGTATGCTGTCGCTCATGTTATAAGTTGATCACAAATGCTATCAGAATGAGTTTTTTTTTCACATAACTTAACTCTGATATGTTAATGGAAAAGTTGTTTTTTTTTCGGTTTCTCAATTTAGTTGAAAATCATGTCATTGACTAAATTTCATTTCTCGTTTTCATTGTTGAAAACAAAAAAAGATGGTTGATTCTCGTGGCAAAAGATTTTATCGACGTTGTTTTGGATTTTACCAGTCCATGCAATACGAAGAAATACGGTCGTTTTTGTTCGATCTGGGAAAGACTTAAGCTTGTCGCTCTTCTTGAAGGAAGAATTTCGACCGGAAATTCTTCGTATTGAATAGAACATAAAATAAAAGGACCTTTGATCGATTTTGGAGAATTGAGATTTGAACAATATCGTTACAACAAGTGATAAGACCGACAAATCATTCTTCAAAAGAATCTCTTTCGAACAAATCAACTAGAGTGACAATTTAAAAAACCTCAGACTAAATCGAAAATTTCACTTTTGACCTTCATCATAAATTTTTATTTGCTCTTTCAATTTGAAGACTGTCTCGTATCGTATCTGTGATGTTTTCATCTTGATGTTTATTTGCTTTAGATTCACTTTTTACTATTGCTGATAAAACAAAAGGACACACTATTTTATTCTCGTCAATAAACAAGGTAAGTGTAAGAGTCTCTCGTACATTTCATTTCAAACGAATTCTACTCAGCGAAATCGTACAGAAGAAAAATCTATTTGTAAAGAGAAGTTTTTTCTAAGTGACAAGCTTTCAACAATCTTATCAAAGAACTTTCTCTTCGAAATTCTATTTGTTAAAACAACCAGCTGATTTATATAAAAGAGATTTGCGAGAAAATAAAAAATTCGATTTTATGATGAATTTTCATTGAAGTTGTTCTCAAATAGTCCACTTGATTCTCGTTGATTATGTCACACTTAGAAAATCTTTGTTTTTCATCCTGCTACTTTGACTGCAGGTATAGACCTTTTCTTCGTCTATACCCACACCTCTCTGATTAATCCAATGCTTAACATGTAAAACTATTGAAAGTAATATTTGTATATTTTAGAGAAAAGCCGACAGCAGCAAAAGCAAATTGTTCTGTTTTTCTTTTAGTGTCAATCGCCTTGCCAACTGATATTTACTCCGAATCCATCGTAGTATTTTTTTGCAATTTCGTACGCTCCTTCTTTGGTTTTTTCCGGTCCTTGTAGTTTCCATGCACCCTGCGTATAATGATATCCACCAGACAAAGTGCCATGTTGGTGACATGACCATCCAGCAGGCAGTAGACTACTGCTCAAACTACCTGGCCATTTCTTGCATGCTTCTTCTTCCTTAAAAAAAAAAAAAAGAAGTTAAGACTTTGATTTCGGTTTTCTAAACAATAGTCGTACTCGATCATACCTGAATATCATATTTGACGATGAACGCAGCTTTTTTCTCATTTGCGACTTCTATATAATCAACAATATCTTTTGTTTTAGTTCCATCCAGCGAAAATGCATAAGCTTTATTTCTACCGACTGTAACATAGAGTGTGATTTCTGCAGGATTGAACGTATACGAAATATCGTTTCTGTTACGAATCGCCTCCGGTAGTGGAGAACCAAATTTCTCGACGAAAATGCCGTCAGTAGGTCCAAGTTCAATTTCAGCCACAAGGTAAGGTTCATGTTCAAGTAATGATGCGTAATGCTTCAAAGCCGAAGAAAAAAGGCGAGTTATTGAAAGAGGAATAGTTAAGTAACCTGAACCAGAAGTATCTTGGTTCTTTAATAGACGACGGTGTCCATCAACACTGAAATCGTAAAATTAACTTAGACTTTTGTCATTGATTAATAAATATGCGAAGAATTTTTCATCAAAACTAACAAGAAGAATTCATTATAAGTAATCAGTTCTCCTTTAATCGTCCTCTTTTTGCGATCATACTATATGTTGATCCTATCTATTAGATATTTAATCATGCAGAAGGGATAAAAGCGGATGGTTGTGAGTGAAGATGTTTTGTTTATCCTCATCCACATCTACCCTCGATGCTCTTTTCTAGAATACTTTAAAACTAATATGACCTGTAAAGAATTGCTCTAGCATTAATGTTGTTCATTTTCAACCACTTAAAACTTACAAGTAAGTGCTTTCTGCTCTGTAATCACCCCACGTAATAACGTCTCCAGGTTGAACATCCCAATCGTCTTCAACATGTTTACCATTCGATGGATGAAAGTTTGTCAGATCGATAGAATTTTTTCCTCCACTTGATTTCAATTTAATAGCATCTTTCGGGTTAATACCAAGATTGAAGTAAGCCATTTTTAAATACTAGAAAAAATATCACGTGCAAAAATTAGTCATTCAATGTTATATTCTACAATATAATAAATGGATGAAAATAAACGAAAGCGGTAAATCTTTACATCTAACCTTCTCACCTAACCAATAAAAAAAAAATTTGATGTCTAGAGAGTATGCATAGAACAGAACGAAGAAAAACGAACGGAGAGTAATGCGAGAAAGAATCCAGAAAAAAAAAGAATATTTATTCAGCACAATACTGTAGATGAATATAGGTGACTAGGGAGGGTACATTTACACTGTCTGTTAAAGATAATGAAATGAAGGATAACTAATAACTTTTATTATTATTTGATGTTATAGATGAATATGTCTGTCTTTTATTCGAATCTTAATTTACTCGCAGTCTGTAATGCAAATATTAAAAAACCGCTAATAAAAGCTTGTAGCATTCAAGTTTTTTTCGATTGATTTCTTTTTTTCTTAAAAATAGACTTTTCTTGTTGTTCAAAAACTTTTAATTCTTCTTCCGTTTCACAGAACACAGAAAATCTTTATTAATATTATCAAAAAAAAAGTTAAAGCAGTATTCAATTCGAGCTGGAACTAGCAGACTAAAAAAGAGCTTCTTTTGAGTTTCCCTGGACATCTTATCTGTTATATTCAGTAACAAGTCGCGAAATTTTGTATTCAATCTACTCTAAGTAAACTTATAAGAGAACTTCTCCAGCTGTTCCTTTCTGCCTGTAAAACCCGTCTAAAAATTTTGAAACTCTTTATTTAGGTTAGTCTATGACAGGACTTTGAGTAACGGTAGTTTCAAGATAATATTCAGCAATATGATTTTTCCATAAATTAAACCTGTTAAAGATCTTTTAAAACAACGAGTATAAATAAATGACGTAACAGAACAGAATAAAAGGATTCACACATGTTTTTTTACCAATAAAAAAACCTTCAAAATTACAAGTAATAGTCTTTGACAATTCTTTTATTTTTAAATAATTAATGGAAAGCGTCCCATATTTTTTAACAACGCTTTCTGACCCTTTTTTCCACACCTTAACCATAAAAAAGGAGTATTTTTTAAATTATTTCACATATTTAGTCATATTATATTGATGCTTTCATAATTTTAAAGAACAACAGTAACACTCATGTGACAAATAATAAGAACAAGAAAAAAAAAAGAAATGTCAATAGGTGAAACAAATGAAATATTGGAATAAGTGCTTTATGTTTCTGTACACCATCGATCATCTTATCAGACTAATACACACACACACACACACAGCGGCAGGCGAGAAGGTATCACCGAAAAAAAGAAAAGAGAGAGAGAGATAGAGAAAAAAAGAGAAAAACCGGTGGCATATAAAAAGAAAAAGAAAAAAGAAGTTCTTCCATATGTGTATCATTTTGATGATAAAGCTTTAGCACATAAATCTTCATAAGCAACAGCTTCTCGCATTTGTAATGCTTTATTACGTAATTCAGTTAAATATTGTTGTTGAGTATCAATAAGATGAATTAATTGTTTAGCATATTCATCACGATCATAACTCATATTTGTTGATAAATCAAGTAAACTTTGATGATTAGCAACAATTTGTGGTAAATCATCAATTAATTCATTATGGGATTCTAATGTTACATCTTCAATTTCTTGTGAACGTGCAATAGCTTCTTCAAATTTACGTGATGCTTCAGATTTTTGTTTATGTCCTAAAGATCGTTTAATATTTGTTGGTTGTTGAATTTTTGGTATATTTGATTGTTGTCCAGCATAACGTGATGTTGGCATTGCTTGATTTGTATTAACATTATTATTACTTATACCAGCTAAATCATCAACATATTCATCATCATCCATTTCATCTTCTTCATCAAGTGGTTGACCTAATATCATATCATCATGTGTTCCAATAGCTTGTCCAGGATGATTACCACCACCACGTTGTTTAAGTTCATCAACATTTAATTCTTTAACACGATCAGCATAACGTAATGTATTTAATGTATGTTCAACATCACTATTACCTGGTGATACCATAGCTATCATACATACTTTAGATTTTTCACCTATAAATGAATCACGTAAAACTTTTGTTAATGTTGAACCACGAAATGGTATATGTTCAGCATTACGTCCTAATGAACGTATACATTCTTTTAATGTTAATAAAGATTTATTAATTTGTGCACCTTCCATTAATGTTGTTTTATCATTTGTTTGTGTATCTTTACCACGTTCACTACCAGCTAAATCAATTAATGAAATTTTTCCATATTCTTTTGTAATATTTTTTTTCTTTAATGTTATTTGAAAAATAGCATGTGAACGAGATGAATTTTCATTAGCCGATGTTGTACCTGATGTACGTACACTCATACCACGTCGTATTAATGTCATAACATCTTCAACAGTTTCCACTTGTTCTTCTTTTTTACCAACAACTTGTACTAAATTTTTATGATCTTCTAATACACGTAAACGTTTTTTTTCATTAAATAAATCAAATACTTTAGTACAGTAGATTTCAAAAAATGTACAATAAACATCAAATTGACCTTTATTAGGAGGTTTATTTAAATGACGAAATATATCATTAGCTGTTAATGCATAGATTCCTTTGGAAAAATCAACATCACGTTGACTTAAATCACCACCCATTGTATATGTTTTACCTAGATTAAAAAAAAAAAAAAAGAAAAAAAAAGTTAAACACATAAATTATTATCAATTTTTATTTTTCAACTTACCAGAACCAGTTTGTCCATATGCAAATACCATAGGATTATTTCCTTGAAATAATGATTGTACTAATGGTTGAGCAGTAAAATGATAAACAAGTTCATTATTACATGTTTCATGAAAACCATAATCAAAACGAAATTTTTGATTATCAATATATTTCGTTAAGTCAACTTTAACTTTAGGTAAATGAACAATAACAACTTCTTTATTTGGTATTGTTAATACATCAATATCTTTTTTATTTAATTCTTTTTTTGTTATTGGTCTTTTACGTACACAAACACATATTTTTAAATCCTTTTGTGCATCATTCATTGTTAATAATTTTGATTCAAGTTGTTGTCTATATTCACTAACCATAGCTTGAAATTCCCATGCTGGTATTGATTGATCAACTTCTGATAATTTTTGTCGACGTTCATCTTGTCTAGCACGTCGTTGTTCACGATTAGCAGCTATACGTTCAATTTCTTTAACAACCTTTGACTTATTTGAATCAATTGGTGGTTGTTGTACAGATGGTATTTGTTGTTTTTGTGGTGATACATCATTATTAACTTGTACAGCTGAATTTGATATAACTGCAGGACGAGTAGCAGCAACAGCTGCAGCAGGAATTTGTGGTTGTTTACGTACATTTTCAATATCATTATTTTGTTGTTTTGTACGACGATTTGGTTGTGTAACAGTACCACCATTTGTATAATGATCACCATTATTATTTGTATCATGTTCAACAGCACCGTTATTATTATTATTATTATTATTATGAGATGATGAAGAATTCGTAACGGATGTAAAAAGATTTTGATTAAGTTGTACAATTGCATCTAAATCAACTTCTTTACCTTTGCCTTCATTTTTTTCTTGCCATTCAACAGTAACACTTTTTGTTTCATGATTTATTTGTGTTATAACAGCTTGATGTATACGACCATTCGATCGTTGTATATCAACAGTTAAACCTGTATGAAGACAAGAAAGTAATTGTTGTTGATTGGAACTCATTAGAAGATTTTTGTTTTATTATTAAAACATGAAAAATTATTTTGTTTATTTTGTCTTGTTTAATCAGATCTATAATATAAACGAGAGAAGAAAAAAAAAACAGAAAAGGAAAAGTTTAAGAAAAAAAAGAAAATTTTAACATGCACACTTTTATTTTGTATTTTGAATGTAGTATTTTTTTTCTTTTTTTTCTTTCTCTATGACTTCAACTTCACCATTTTCTCTGCTCTGCTCTGTCGTTACTTTACATTCAATGCCAATGAGAGAACGCCAGTATCAACTTGTATAGACGAACGAATTGTTGAGATATCTCCGTCGAAGAGGCATTGCTAAGCAATGATTTATAATGTCAAAAACAAGGAGACGGCGACAACGAGAACGATGAGAGAGAGAGAGAGAGAAAGAGAATGAAAAAGAACGAATGAGAAGAAAAAAAAAAATCATCGACCTATTCATCTTAATGGTGACAAAAAAGAAAAGAAATGAATAATAAGAAGTGCCTGTTGATGTTTATTGAAAATACAATATAAACGCAATTTATAATCCGATTAGTATTCATTGTATACATAAAATTGATTTTGTTTCTATGATTTAATATATGTATTCAAAAAATTTTAAAACTTATACTTTTTATGTAATCTCAAATAGTGATTTGACTAAATGATGCGATGTTTTTATTTTTATATGATCAGCATATTACAACAAGCAAAAGATCAAGCTGAAATAATTTCTAATGTATTATGCAATTATTTTGTAGTTTTTGTAAAAAAAGTAAACAATGAATTTAATTTATTGTTGAATCAACACTGAAGTAAAAAAAAAAAAAAAAAGCAAAATTTTTTTTATTTTAATCATTATAATAATTAATATTTTTAATTACGTTTCAATTGTTTTGCATGTTTGTTATTAATATAATTAAATGTTTTAAAGTTTGATTAATAGTATTCTTGTGTAACCAATGAGTATCATTGTAATTATATAAAAGAAAATTATAGCTAATTATTAATCAGTAATGGTTCAAATCAATTAAGAGGTCATATTCTGCAAAGAAAAGAATTTATCGACCTTTTCTCATAAGGTACAATAAAGTTATTAAAGTGTTTTAACAATCAATGCCTGAAATAATTGAATTACACTTACAATTTTGAAAAATTCAAGCGACCATACTTTCGACTAAAAAAATAATTTTTTTCTTTAATTCATGTTTGATCAATAGATTTTCCCTAGACCTAAAGGAAAGGATCTAGAAACAGAATTCATCTATGTTGGTCTGTACCATAGTAACCATATGGTAACTATGGTACAAATGATTGCGTACGTTAACAAAATAGAGCATCGATGTATAAGAATTCAAATTAACATAGGGGTGGTATCCTAGGACAAGATCTGTATAAACTCTGTGCTTCAGTATTTACTATCATATTGTTCGCTGTTTTAAATGTTTGTTCACTTTTGATCTGCTAGAAAAAATTTGTGATATTGTACTTTTTTTCATATATGAACTTTGAAATTTTGTTCGAGACTAGTGAAATAATCTTTGAAAAGATCCCAAAAAATAGTTCGGACAGATAAATTTTCTATTGTTACTATTGGAATTCGAAATTAAAAGTTTGGAATATTTATTTATACGTCAGTTTGTAAATCACAAGCTACTGTACAAAATGTACCTTTTTTTTTGCTTCTCTAAATACTCACTGTTTGAAAAATGGACAACTGATTTACGTTGAAAGGAACTACTGAAAAAATGCTTACAGCTTCACTTGAGTAAAAAGCTACAACTGACGAGAGAAATACCTGAGATGTCGGGCTCCGTTGTGATTCATTCTTATCTTATTTGGTAGAGTATATTGAGCTAAGAAGAGCCTGAAAGAATTCAGACTCATGATCCTTCTTTCCATTCTTTTAAAATGTTTTTCAAACAAAATTTTAAGATCAATATTAAAGAAAAATAGAGATCAGAGCTACAACAATGTTACGAGGAAAAAAAGGATTGGCGAAATATTGCACATATAAATTGAACTTCATTAAGTTTTTTTTTTTTATCGTGTTATATAAGTGAAAACTAAATTTTATATAACGAAAAAACTGCTTTTGTGAAACAAATTGTTCTCATATGTCAAGTCACCGTCAGTCTATAACCCAGTAAATCAAGTCTTGATAAAACATTACGCGTTATTTTTTTTTTTTTTGTTTTCTAAATGATAAAAAACTTTTGCAGGTGCATTTATATTATAATCTGAATTAAATATC